GGTTCCGCAGTGCCGGCTGCCGCTCTTTCAGGGCGTTAGGTGGAGGGAAGGCGGCGGCAAGCTCATCTCGGAGGTGCACGGCAATATAGGGCAGGGGGCACGCGTGGCTGCCAGGAAAACTTTTTTAAAAGTTAGGAAAAATTTTCGCATTGATGGTGGTCAGCCGCAGGTATGGGGACTCGGAAGAGTTGTTCTCTCCGTTATATGCCCGGTAATACTAAAAACTCGACAAGGTCCAGAGGGAGCTGATAGAGTTTGATCTAGTTGCTTCGAGTGGTGATTTGGACTAGAGATCTCATGAGGTCCCTAAATTATCCTGTGATTTCGACACAAGTTGGTAAAGTTGTTTTTGTTGTCAAGAATAAGATTATTGGCCTTTAACTGTGGAGAACACAAGCGGTCTAATACTTCAGCTTGAAAGTTTTTATATGTGGTGTTCTGAAGATCATCATAAAAAATAAAGTGCTTTTTTTTTTTTTTTTCCTTTTCTCGTCCGTGTGTTCTTGTGCAGTTAATGCTGCATCGTCTGCTGAAATCAGTATGGGTATGCCTAGCCACACGAGCAGTTTCTTGGAATCTAAACTTCTAAACTGAGGAATTGGTGTATTAATTTTGGTTCTTGCGGCTGAGAATGAATGGACAAATTTAAACCTACCTCATTTCGCTGCATGCAAAGTTTTTTTGTCTCAGTGTGGTGGTAACTTGTAGGTCAGGGTCTAGTAACGTGGTCCCACAACATTTAAACTGGTCTGAATTGTTCCTGTGGCATACCTTCCATCCCCTCCATGGTGGGTATCCATTCCTACCTCTTGTCTTCCATGAGCAGGAGAAGGAAACTGTATTTTCTTGCTGTACTGTTAATTTCTGCCAGATCAGCTCTTGAATTGGCTCCCCTGAGCCTGATGAGAATTGGCTCTGATGGAGAGGAACAGATGGGAATGTAGCACCTCCAATTTAGCATAATTAATACTCCTAGCAAAGCTACTCTTTAGTGCAGTTTTATGTGTTAAAACGCCACGTTGTTCCCTTTACAAATAGCAGTAAGAGATTCAGGGAAGAGTGTTTAAAATGATTTTGGGGGGTAGAGGAGAAGAAGTGGTCTGTGTGGCTCAAGGAGTGTTCTGTTTGCAACAGTTCATGAAGTCTTTTACAGAAACTCCTGCAAGATGAAATAGTCCTTCATTGGAAACCTTTCTTTGTTTGATTTGATACTCTTTACAGAATGTTACAAGACTGCTGAAGCCTTAGATTTGGACTTTGGACATACATTTTCCGTAACAAATAAATCTACTTTTCTTAGTGATTTAAAATCATGAGTTTCTAACATGTTTCTAGTGTTGCAAACGAGATGATATATCCATTTTTGTTGGTGCATTGCTAAAGCAAATGTGCAGGGTGTGTATCCATAAGGTTGAGTTCAGGAAGTTGTGAAAGCATAGTATGAAATATGTCAATGAATGGTAAGTGATTGCTCAAAGGTCAGCTTGAAAGCACTGTTTCTATATGGACAGAGTCGAGAAAGACCTATGCTGGTCTATACCACACTTTGAGGAGAGTCTTTGTAGGCATCTTAACTGTGACCGGAGAGTCAGGATTAGGGATCTTGTGTTCTGGGTGTGTTAGGCAGCTTTGGAGAGCTCTTAGATTAAAAGATTACAGTGAATACTGTGAATAACCCTGGGCAAAGAATTGCTGCAGAAATAACAATCCAAACTGAAGAATTTGTTAATTGTTTTTATGTCAACAGTGTGGAGGGAGGCAAGGTCACAGACCTTTAGCTGCATATATTAGTGGAGTATACATGGGAAAAAACAGTTTGTTGGCTTACAAGAAATAGTTGATTTGTACTGAGAATGTGCTTGTTTTCTCGAGGGCCTACAGTTTCACTGAGATGCTTTGCTTTGTTTCAACTTCATAAATTTGGGAGAAAACTTTTTTTATCAAATGCCATTGTGTCTCCTGAAGTGCTCCGTAGCCAGTAACATCCATCACAATAAGTAGGGATTTTTGATTAGGAAAGAGAGGTGTGTTGAAAGGACTGAAATTTTTCTGAACATTGTTTTCCATTAGTCCTAGTTTTGGTTTAATGTGGTAGGTGTATCGTAGTCATTGCATCTGTCCTTTTTACAGCCTGATTATTTTACTTAATTCCTCAACTCATAGATTGGAGTGTCCGTAATTAACAGGAATTTGGCAAGGGAAGGGTGAGAGAAGAGAGGCTGGGGAGTGATGCCTAGAAATCGTCTGACCACATAATCCTCTTAAACAAAGGGGTAAGATATTTTGAGCAATCCCTCAATAGCATGAAAACTTCTTTGTCAATAAGGATCATCTTCTGCTCATGTAACTGATATCTTTAAGGGTAAATTCTGTAGATGGGTTTGGGAAGGGGACAGAATTATCCATGTGTAATTGTGTGTGTGAATGTACACATACGGGCTGATAATGAATACTAAAACCTAATAAAGAGCTAAGATGGGAACTGCGTGTGGAATATTCCTGTTAATATCAAGTTACTAGTTAGTAAACTCTGAAATTTGCTGCAGCACTTTGGTCGTTGCCAAACTTTTTTTAATGGCTATACTCTTCTGTAATGTAAGAAACTGTTCAGAACTTCTTCTGCTCTGTCCTCTTCACCCATGCATGTGTAGGCAGAGGAAGGAGAAAGGAGATGGTCATAAAAATGCAAATTAAACATGTACAAACTATTGAAAAGATTTCTCAGAAACAAACTGAAGGTCTGTAACTGATGGAAGATAAGGGGGGTGGGATGTGTAAAGAAGTAAAAAAACTTCTTAGCTCTTTAAGAAATGCTCTTTGTACCTCAGTCTTTCCCTGAGTTTCCCCTGCACTGGCCTCCATTTTCCCCGTTTGTATTGAAGCCCAAATGATTTCTATGGCTTTCTTTGTTCCTTACATAGGTAATAGAAAGGAAAAGGAAGATCTTCCTTGATCTCTAAGGTCTCTGGCTATTTCAAGGAGTAATAAAGGAAGACTTTCACTTACTACTTTTCCGTCTTCTGGCAATGTTGATATCTGCTCAGGTCATTTTAGAAAGGAATCTCTTGCTCTTTCACCTTGCTTTTATATTGTGCTCATTTTATCAGCACCCTCAGATGCTACCTCAGCTTCCAAACTTTATTTACCCACCAAATGTGGGTAAGAAGGAGGCACTTTGATTGGATTCCTGTCTGTAGCTATAGGAAATCTTGCAAGAAATCCTGAAAATAACAAGTTTTCAGCTTTGTATAGTTTGAGTGAGGAACAGATTTAACCCTTAGTATCTGTCCACCCAAATAAGCTGGGGGTGGTCTAGATGACCTTTAAAGGTCCCTTCCAACCCAAACTATTGTATGATTCTATGAAATGTAGCTTGGATTACATAATTTTAAATTAGATTTGTGCTTTGGAGGTGTTGCTGCTCAAGGAGTACCTGAAAGCTCAATGTAACCAGTATTTACATTTGATGTGTGCTTTAAAATATCTTGCCGATGGGTCAATTTTCTTTTTAACATGTTTGGACTTCATGATACATAATAGGGCATTTTTCTAGAAAGGCCTGTTGGTTGTAGTACGCAAGTGAGCTTAAAGCCCTGCTGGAGGCTACAGACTGTGAGTTTTGTTTTAGGAAGTGAATGTAGCTGGGTTTTGCTGTTACTTGAACTGCGGTGAGTTCTGGGCTCTGCTGGGGCCTTGCTCGCTGGAAATGTGAGGAGCTACCAGCAGAGAGTATATTGAAAGTAGCTCGGTCCCTTAGTTTCTAGTGAGGTTTCTTTACTATAAAACAACTGATGTTTGTTATACAGGCTTATACCCCTTTTCTAATTTAGATCTTGCTTTTCAAATCTATCCTGGGACAGCAGGGTTTTGATATTTGAGCACTTTTCATAACTATTTGGTTGTCCTGTAAAATGGACTAAAATAGGTCCTTGCCAAAGTATGTTTCTTTTTAACTATGTAGAAGTTAGAGTACTGGAAAGCCAAAACAAATGCATCTTCTTATTTGTGTAACTTCTTTTTTTAAACCACAAACTATGCAAAACAGAACAGGGATGGGGCAGAAATTAAAGGATTGGCTGGGAAAGACTTAACCGGTTTATTACTTTATTTTTAACATTCTTTTCTACAGGTCTATTACAGGCCTTTGTTGGACATAGTAAGGTTGTGTTAGAACTCTGATTTGACAAAATGCAGCATTTCCACTGTGCTTTTGGTAAGGTTTGGATTTGATAAGACTTGTCCTTATGCTCTAGGACTTCACCTGGAGCCTGTTGTCTTTGTAACTTGGCCTGTAATTTAAAAGTGTGCATTAAAATAGCATCATCAATGAGTTTGGGTTTTACCGATTCAAGGCTGAAGACCAATTTTTTTTTTTTTTTCTCCTGTCTTCTTGAAGCAATGTGCATTTATACTCAGGCACCCTAATTTGTTCTGGTAAAAGCAATTGCCTGAATGAGCGTTGGAAGCTGTGAAGCAGAAGGAGCTAGTGAATCAAGGTCCTGGGTGGCAATTGAGAATGGAATTCTATCTTTGACTCTTACCTGCTGTGAACTTAGGCGTGCCATTTCCATTTTCCACCTGTTTCCTTCTTATCTTACATCTGTCTTAACTATTTAAATTGCCAGCTGTTTGCAACGGGGACTTACTGTGCCATGTACAGCAGAACCTCATCTTGACCGATGCCCCTGTTGCTCCTACTGTGCTGTAACTTGGGCAAACTTTTCTGCTTCAGATAGGGCCATGGACGGAAATACAGAGCTGTGTCATGTCAGTTTAAAAACCCCCAAAACTCAGACTCATCCAGCCCAGAAAGTGCAAGGTGAGAGTTTTTTTTTTTAAATTTCTTCAAAAATGTATCGCTCCCCAAACATATGCCCATGCTAAGCTGCCTCTCTCTGAAGACAGCAAACAGCTCAAGCCTATAGCCAAGTTTTTTTGAACCAGCTATATTTTCTCTGAACCAGGACTCTTCAGTAATGTAAGAAGCACATACGGTTTTTAGGAATAAATCCGTACAAAGCTTGGAATTTAAGCTGTCTTTTAGTTACCAGTGCCTAAATTTTCTTTTGGGGGTACTTTGATAGCTTGGAAAATGCTCAAAAGCTTCTTATCCTTGAAAAAGATCTCTATACAGTCTTCTCAAAACTGAGAATTGACAAACTTAAGCTTTCAAAAACATTTTTTTGCCAGGTTATAAATATCTGAAAATAGATATGGAACAGACAGCTGAACTGGGACTGTAGAATTGCTTTTATGGTGTAGAGAAAGGAGTGACTATTTGTCAATTTTTTTTTTTTTTTTTTTAAATACTGAAATTACAGCATGTGTGCTGTGTGCCTGGCAAGCTGCCCTCTCTTATTTTGCAAGTGGATTTGTCAGTGTTGTAGCGCAGACAATATGTGTAAAATTTCGATTTGGTTTAGTTTAGTGTTCCCTGTTTATTCTTTACGCTTGCAGGCCCATCAGAGGGCTTTCAAAACATGTAGTCCCATACTTCTGGAAGCCCAGACTGTTCTCTGCAAGGCATTGCTGGTGGTAGGTCTTGATTGTAACAGCTTCTTCACAAGGGGACTGTCTTCTGCTTTTCTCAAGATTGGGTTTCACCCAGTCATATCCCGTGCAGGATTCCCTGAGTGGCTGGGATAAGGTAGACCGATACCGTGTTCTCCTAACCAGCAGATCAGCTGTTTCTCTTCTTATTTCGTCTCTCCTTTGCCGCAGGCAGGCTGCTGTTTGCCAGTTGTGCGTTTGAGTGACTTTGTGTTGCAGCCTTGTCTAGCAAGGCTAAGCCATTGGCCAAGCATGAAGACCATGTTGTGCTGTCTTCTGTAGCTGTGTCGATTGATCAGCAAGACTTTCCTCTACGCTTCCACAGACAAACTCACAATGCTAGTCATTAAATCTTAGCTTCAGACATATTTTGTCCATTACTGCTTTCTATTTCTCCTTGGCTTAAAAAGTTCTGTAACAGTGGATAAAGATGTGATTTAGGTTAAAACCCTGCAGGTCAGTAAGCTGACATTCATTTTTACTACTTTTCTTACAAGCGTACTGCATGCTAGTCTGTACATTTCTCTTTAAAACTTAGCTGAATTTTACTTTTATGTTGGTCCAAAGATGAGGTGCAGCCACAGCTCCCTAGAGAATGGCAGGACATTGTTGGAATTGAAGTCCTGTGTTTCTGTCAGCACTTTTTAAGAACAGAGGAAGAACTTTAGATTTAGCAATAGCACTGATGTCTGTAGGCTTCTTCTGGGATGGTTTTATTTTTCTTCTCACTTTTTTTGAACAGAAGTAAAGCATAAAAGCAATGTATCGCTAAAATTCAACTGAGAAAAGTACTTGTGGAAGAGTCCTATGTAGCTCTATGATAGAGATGTGTATATATATGGAACTTAATTTTTCTGCAGTTTTTTACTACTCCATAGAAATTGTGTTATTACAAGATGTTAATAATGCATCTTAATAAATTCTGTGCATTAGCAGCTTATGTTGAAGAATACCCTTTTCCTTTTTTCCACTTAACAGCTTTTATGCCTTCCTAAAAATTGAAAAAGAAAAAAAACCCCAAACCCTTCCTTGTTCAGGCATGCCTGAGTAAGTATGTGGAACAGTCCAGGGACCGTGATTCAGAATCTCTTATTTTCATTTAAACTTCACTTTTTACTTCCTTGAATCTTAAGTGGTAAAGTTTTAAAAGAGCTAAAGAGATATATAGTAACATACTGGTGTCAGTTTCTGTAGTAGGATTTTACCCTCCCGTGTCCACTCTAAGCACAAAATATGTTTTTTATCTAAAATGCTTGCAGGGAGTAAATTGGTTCTGATCCCCCCAAAACTCTGGTATTTGAAAAAGCATATGACAATGAATACAGGCAATGCGTGCATCCTTTTTATACCAGAAGAACTCTTTTTCCTCCTCATCTCAAACTTTCTTGCATGATAACATTCTGTGGATTTCTTTTTTAATCATTTGATGTCAACATATCTTTCCCTTCAGCAGAGATGCAGTCATTCTCCTTGTCTTTTTGATACCAGCATACACTGTGCTGTCTTCCTGTAGTTGTGCCGTATTGTTTTGTTTTTTTCAGTACCAGAGTTGTGAGAACTAAATTGAAAATCATTCTAGTGGAGTATCTGGAGAGCTGTATTGCCTCATGAGCACAAGTGCATTTCAAACAGTCACGCCTAGGCTCCTGTAGCTAGGCATCTGTTGGAAAAAGGTCTCTAGCTGTATGTCTTGCTTGGCATTAGGTTTCACCTGGGCTGAGGGACCCTCGACCTCTTCAGTATCTGTCATTGTCTAGTATGGACTGTGCTATGTTCACAGAAGGTATAACTTAGTACCTACATTCTAACGACTTCACAGGCTGTATCGATGGGCCGAGGCCAACTGTATGAGATTCAAGTCCAAGTGCCGGGTCCTGCACTTGGGTCACAACAACCCCATGCAACACTACAGGCTTGGGGATAAGTGGCTGGAAAGCTGCCTGGCGGAAAAAGACCTGGGGGTGTTGGTCAACAGATGGCTGAGCATGAGCCAGCAGTGTGCCCAGGTGCCCAAGGCCAACATCATCTTGGCCTGTTATCAGAAGTAGTGTGGCCAGCAGGACCAGGGCAGTGATCATCCCCCTGTACTCGGCACTGGTGAGGCTGCACCTTGAGTACTGTGTTCAGTTTTGGGCCCCTCACTACAAGAGAGACCTTGAGGTGCTGGAGCGTGTCCAGAGAAGGGCAACGAAGGTGGTGAAGGGCCTGGAGCACAAGTCTGATGGGGAGCGGCTGAGGGAGATGGGGTTATTCAGCCTGGAGAAGAGGAGGCTGAGGAGAGACCTGATCGCCCTCTACAACTACCTGAAAGGAGGTTGTAGTGAGGTGGGCGGTGGTCTCTTCTCCTAAGTAACAAGCGCTAGGACAAGAGGTAACGGTCTCAAGTTACGCCCGGGAGGTTCAGGCTGGATATTAGGAAGAACTTCTTCACTGTTAGAGTTGTTAGGCATTGGAATGGGCTCCCCAGGGAGTTGGTGGACTCACTGTTCCTGGAGGTGTTCAAAAAACATTTAGATATGGTGCTTCGAGACATGGTTTAGTGAGTTTAGCGGGCATGGTGGCATTGGGTATACGGTTGGACTTGATGATCTTTGAGGTCTCTTCCAACCATAATGGTTCTATGATATCAGGATTTTAGTTCTGCTTTGTCACTTTGCAGAATTTCTTGGAGGACAGAAGCATGTTCATTTGCAAATGAAAATAGTGGTTAAGATGACGTTTCCATCTGTTGTTTGTCATGACTGGAGTTCTGATATTAAGTACTCAATATGAGAAATACCTACCCTGATTCCTAGCAAACTGAGGAATCACAGTGACAGGCAGAGTGGACTGCAGGTGTTTAATATCTTAACATAACAAGTCCTAAATATGTAGATCTTTCAAAGCTGCTTTTTGAAAACATGACTACTGGATCAACTCATCTTTTGATATAAGCATTAATATATATGCACGTACTTGATAGGATGTTTTTTGAGTTTAACAAAGCGGTGGATTAATGGTTTGTCCTGTTTTCTTTTTTTCTGTAGTGCAACAGAATGGAGTACGACACTGCTCCTACTCGGCATCAAGGAAAAATCTGTATATTAACAAAAATACGAAGGTTATCTGTCAGGGTTTTACAGGCAAACAGGTATGTATATGAACTATTTCTTCTATCACCCTTTCAGTTCAGAAAGTTCATTGGCCAAAAGCCATAATAACGTATAAAAGGGATTATATACTGACTTTGCCTGTGTTGATAAGAAGCTGGACTTCATGATCAGGAATCATAGAACAGAATCATAGAATCGTTTAGCTTGGAAAAGACCTTTAAGGACATTGAATCCAACCATTAACCTACTGCCAAGTCCACCACTAAACCATGTCCTTAAGCACCACATCTACACATCTTTTAAATACTTCCAGGAATGGTGACTCCACCACCTCCCTGGGCAGCCTGTGCCAATGCTTGACAACCCTTTTGATGAAGAAATTCTTCCTAATATCCAATCTAAACCTTCCCTGGTGCAACTTGAGGCCATTTCCTCTTGTCCTATTGTTAATTACTTACAAGAAGAGACCAACACCCACCTTGCTACAACCTCCTTTCAGGTCGTTGTAGAGAGTGATCAGGTCTCTCCTCAGCCTCCTCTTCTCCAGACCAAACCCCCCCAGCTCCCTCAACCACTCCCCATCAGACTTGTGCTCCAGACTCTTCGCCACCTTTGTTGCCCTTCTCTGGACACGCTCCAGCACCTCAAGGTCTCTCTTGTAGTGAGGGGCCCAAAACTGAACACAGTATTTGAGGTGCGGCCTCACCAGTGCCCAGTACAGGGGACAATCACTTCCCGAGCCCTGCTGGCCACACTATTTCTGAAAGAAGCCAGGATGCTGTTAGCCTTTTTGGCCACCTGGGCACACTGCTGACTGGCATTCAGCCAGCTGTTGACCAGCACCCCCAGGTCTTTTTCTGCTGGGCAACTTTCCAGCCAGTGGTCCCCAAGCCTGTAACGTTTTATGGGATTGTTGTGACCCAAATGCAGGACCTGGCACTTGGCCTTGTTGCACCTCATATAGTTGACCTCAGCCCAAGGATCCAGCCTGTCCAGAATCCCTCTGGCGAGCCTTCCTACCCTCCAGCAGATCAACGCTCCCACCCAACTTGGTATCATCTCCAAACTGACTGAGGGTGCACTCGATCCCCTTGTCCAGATCATTGATAAAGATATTAAACAGAACCGGCCCCAATACAGAGCCCTGGGGAACACCACTGGTGACCAGCCGCCAACTGGATTTAACTCCATTCACCACAGCTCTTTGAGCCTGGCCATCCGGCCAGTTTTTCACCCAGCCAAGGGTATGCCCATCCAAGCCATGAGCAGCCAGTTTCTCCAGGAGAATGCTGTGGGAAACTGTGTCAAAGGCTTTACTGAAGTCTGGGTAGACAACATTCACAGTCTTTCCCTCATCCACTAAGTCGGTCATCTTGTCATAGAAGGACATCAGGTTAATCAAGCAGGACCTGCCTTTCATAAACCCATACTGGCTGGGCCTGATCACCTGGTTGTCCTGTACGTGCCGAGTGATGGCACTCACGATGAGTCCCTTCAGCAAGGTCCCTTTAGCACTGTAATTTCCTTTCTTTGGTCCAAATAGACCTATTTTTTTCTTAAATTCAATAGACTAGATACTTTTTTTATGCTTGTGCACAAACTTAAAACTTGGTTTTGAGCCGTCTCTATTATGTTACTTTTGATTTTTGTTGTTGGTTTTAGTCTTAAGGCTTGTTATTGTATACAACTGAAAGGCTTTCTTTGTAAAGGGAAATTTGCAAAAAACTACGAAAACTACTTGCCATTTTAGAAGTGCGTCTTTCACAAATGCCTTTGAATGTCAGTGGCTATGAATTAAATTTCTGTTTTTCTTTCAGGGTATTTAATAATTTACGTTCACTCTTTTGCACTTTTGCAAGGGGAGAAGACTGCTTTTGCTGAAACTATCAGCTAGTCATGGATAAGAATGCTAATTTCTTATATTTCATTAGAATGTTTGTCATCTGCCAGACTTGATGTGGAAAATAAAATGTTGCTGCTATGTCTGTAGGTTTAGTAGCAACACACAACAAAATATCCTTTAGTGTGCAACCACAGTCCTCTGATTCAAAAGAGAAAGCGTAGCATATTCTGAAACCATTTAAAACATGTTGATGCATTCTTCGAAATAGCTGGATATATATATGTAGTGACAACTTCCCTTCTCATTGCAAATCTAAGTGCCATAAATTGCCTTCAGAATTCCAAATAACATCAACTTTTTTTTGTTCATTTTATTTGCTATTACATGCCTTTTAACTTTACGTATTTTCTCTCTCATAGGGCACTTTTCACAGCCAGCAGGCATTGGACTATGGCACCAATCTAGTTGGAGGAATTTCTCCAGGGAAAGGGGGAAAAACTCATCTGGGTCTGCCTGTGTTTAATTCTGTGAAGGAGGTAATTTGCAGCAATGACTGGAGGGCAGACAATTTAATGCTGCTGAAGGGCTCCTTATTTCATTGCTCATGCTGAATAGACGAATATTTGAGCCATGGATGTCACTGTGCAAGGAGTGAAGTAGAAACCTTGTAAAAGAGGGAGCGTTCAGTGTGGTCAGACATGAGTTTGGCTTCCACTGTGAAGTTCACAGAGTCTGAATACACTTACTTTAAGCGTGCAACTAGTTTCTGATGGATTCTAGTGTGTATGATGAGTTTTTAGCAAACTATTATCTAAGGGTATTTATGATGGTGTTCATGGGGCAGATCCTTTCCCGACAGTGGTTAGTTCTCAGTTCCCTAGTTGCATTGTATGTGTACCATCGTTGGTGAATTTAACACTTGCATTGATTATAATAAATTAATACATATCCATTAATTTCATTTATGCCTGCGAATGGACATATTTTAAATGACTAGTTGTCAAATGTTCTCTTGCACTCCACTAAATGCTTGGTATCTTTTGTTGTGTCTGTTGTAGGCCAAAGAACAAACTGGTGCTTCTGCCACTGTTATATACGTACCTCCTCCGTTTGCTGCTGCTGCGATAAATGAAGCGATCGATGCAGAAATGCCCTTAGTTGTATGCATTACTGAAGGTATTCCCCAGCAGGACATGGTTCGAGTTAAACACAGACTGCTTCGGCAGGATAAGACTCGACTAGTGGGCCCGAACTGCCCTGGAGTCATCAACGTAAGTGACTTCTGGATTTGGTCCAAGGCTGAACCATTCTTAGTGATGGTTTGAATGTTCCATCTGACTTCTCCCACTCTTTCCTTAGCATGGAGGATGTAAAATTGGTCAC